ATGATGAGTTATGATGTTGATTTCATGAGTTTTGATGATTATATGATGACATGATTATTATGATGATTTTGATGAATGATGATGCACCTAATGAGTTTATTATGAGGATGATATTGACGTGTGCATCATGCATTCATATGCATCCGTACTTCGGTTCAGGACCTTGATTTTTGTGGCTTCAGTCCCATTGTGCAGATGTGAGGTATTTTGTTGTGCTCCGGTTCTCGAGTATAATCGATCCTACTGTTGTGGATCTATGGAGGGTTGATGGCCCAATGTCCATCGATTTTTGTTGATTGGTACCACATGCATGAGTCTTGTTGCATTTCCATTTATGTGACAATTTGATGTAATTTATAATGGTTTGGCCTTTGATGTTCCTTGATGATTACGATGATGTTGAATATGAAAATGACGCCATTTTATATATTGAATATTATGAATAGTTTTACTCACCCTGCATGTTTGAATGTTTCCTCCACGTGGGTAACGTGCAGATGACCAGGTTTAGTCGTAGATGTTGTCGAGGACTTATGAAGTTTTTGAGTCGTTGGTCATTGTGATTGACTTAGAATTAGAAGGTCTTGCTCTGATAGTGTAACATCGGGTTGGGGTCTTTGAGTCAAACTATACTTTATTGAGTTTTATTATGTTGATTGCCTTGCGGCGCAAGGAAAACTTTGGATTATTACATTTTTGAGTTCTGCTGCCTTTTGAGTAATATTTTGAGTAAATTTTGGGAAAATCTATTGTTTACGGAGCATTGACTATATTTGAATTATTGAAAAATGTGCGCCCATTTGAGATGATTTTATTGCGTTCAATATTTTACTCTAATAAATATGATTAATTTGTCATTTTACTTGTGAGGTAAAAAAAGATGTTACATTATGAGTATTCACCCAGAAGACTAAGGATGAAACTTTTTAGAATTTTAAAGATTGAAAGACTCTGGTCGAAAATCAGACTAGCAGCAAGATCAAGAGGTTGAGAACTGACAATGGCCTTGAATTTTGCAATGAGGCGTTCAACAGTTTTTGTGTTGCCTTAGGTATTGCAAGGCACAAAACTACTGCAGGGACTCCACTGAAAAATGGTTTGGCAAGGTTTAGTCGAACTATTTTGGAAAGAGTTAGATGCATGTTGACTACTGCTGGATTAAAGAAGGTGTTTTGGGTTGAGGTTGTTTCGATAGCAACATATCTGATAAACATATGTCCTTCGACTGCGTTAGATTGAAGACACCTGAAGAAGTTTGACCAGGAAATCCACCTAGTCTCGACAGACTAAGAGTATTTGGCTGCGTGGCCTGTGCTCACATTAGGCAAGACAAAGTCGAACCTAGAGCTCTGAAATGCATGTTCATGGGATACCCTGAAGGAGTCAAATCTTATAGGTTATGGTTCCTAGAGCTAGGTCATAGGAGGTGTATCATCAATCGAGATGTAGTTTTTAATGAAGCTAAGATGGTTTTCAAGAAAACTGATGATGCTGACGAAGAGCTGGAACAAGGAGAGATTCCTGTTGAGGTGGGACATGTTGATGCTGAATTGCGTATCCCATATAAAGTCAAAGAAGTAGCAGAAGTTGTTTTCGAAGATGAGGATACTGATCATGACTACCTACTAGCAAGAGACATGTCGAGGAGAGTCACAAAGCCACCTCAGAGACTTGGGTATGCAGATCTTATAGTTTATGCCTTAATTTCTGCATGTGAGGTTCTCGACGAAGAACCTAAAAAATATAAGGAAGTTATAAGGAGTCAAAAGAAAATTGAATGAGTGAAGGCTATGAATGATTAGATGAAATCTCTTCATGATAACAACATCTGATAACTAATCAAGAAACCTGCTAGAGCCAGGTTAGTCAGTTGTAAATGGATTTTCAAAGTTAAGGAAGGAATAGAAGGAGTAGCGTCGAAAAGATACAAGGCAAGATTGGTCGCTAGGGATTTCACTCAGAAAAAAGGTGTAGACTTCAATGATGTGTTCTCTCCTGTTGTGAAGCACAAATCCATTCGAATGTTGCTCGCCACAGTGGCACAGTTCGATCTTGAACTAGAACAAATGGATGTAAAGACTACGTTTTTGTATGGTGATCTAGATGAAACAATCCTGATGAGGCAACCTGAAGGGCATGTCGAAAAGGGGAAGGAAGATTATGTGTGCAAGTTGAAGAAATCCTTATATGGACTGAAACAATCTCCTCGACAGTGGAATAGAAGATTCGACAAGTTCATGGCACGCATGAGTTTCATTAGAAGTCAGTTCGACCACTGTGTTTACTTCAAACTTTGACCTGGTAATTCATTTATTATTTTGCTGCATTATTTGGATGATATTCTAATAGCAAGCAACAATGTCGAAGATGCAATGAGGGTGAAGGTTGAACTCAATAAAGAGTTCAACATGAAGGATCTGGGAGTTGCGTCCAGGATTCTTGAGATTGACATCCGAAGAGATAGAAATCAGTCGAAATTATGCTTATCTCAGGAGGCATACCTACGGAAGATTCTTGAAAAGTTTGGTATGTTGAATTCAAAGTCTGTTGTGACTTTGACAAACCCTCAATTCAAGTTGAGTATACATCAGTGTTTCAGTACTTATGTCGAAAGAGCTTATATGAATATCATTCCATATGCTAATATAGTGAGTTCTTTAGTGTATGTTATGGTCTGTACTAGACCCGACATAGCATATGCATTAAGTCTTGTAAGCAGGTACATGGCGAATCTTGGAAAGGCTCACTGACAAACATTGAAGTGGATTCTAAGGTACATAAATGGGTCTCTGAAAAGAGTCCTAATTCATGGTGGAACCTTGGGTGAATATAGTAAAGCAAAAATCGAAGGATATGTCGACTCAGATTATGCAGGTTGTATGGATTCTAGAAAATCTAGTTATGGATATGTGTTCACTATGTTTGACACAACAATTAGTTGGAAAGCAACACTTTAGAAGGTTGGTGCCTTATCAGCCACTGAAGCGGAATATATCGTCCTAAGTGAAGCTGTGAAGGAAGCATTGTGGCTTTAAGATTTTGCAAAGGAGCTGAAACTTCAAGGTCGAGTTGTCACTGTTAAATGTGATAGTCAAAGTGAAATACTCTTGTCGAAGAATTCAGCCTATCATGAGTCAATCAAGCACATTGATGTGAGGCTGCATTTCTTCAAAAGGGTAATCGAGCATGGAGAAGTCCAAATGCTAAAGGTTTTAACATATCATAATGTTGCTGATATGATCACCAAGACGTTGCCCAGTTGCAAGTTTTTCCACTGTATGCAGTTGATAGAGCTGCATGAAGAAAACTAGTTTATTTCTTGATGGTAGAGTTAGATCCAAGGTGGAGATTTGTGAGATATTGGATCGAACTCTAGTTAGCATGTCGTCGATGTTTGTTCACATGCTGTTGTCGAAGACCTATATGCTGTAGTTGAATTGTGTTCTAGTATGTAGTTGTCGAATTAGGCCTTGTGTTAAGGATCCAATTGTTTAAGTTAACTTGTACCCTAAGTTAGCTTGTAATGCGTAATTGTTAAAATACACATTAGTTTAGTATGTTAGGTTTTATTATAAATAACATACTAGTCTCTCATCTTATGTGTGGTGTGACAAAATCTAATTAGGGTGAGAGGGTTATTTGTTATTCTTGAGTACTTGTAATTTATTTTATAGAGAAAGTAAAGAATAACGGTTATAACTAATCCTTGTTGTTCTCTTTGTTTTTCCTTAACCCTAACTCTTGTGTGTTTCTTGATCATAAAGAAACCGAGTATATTTTATTTTAAGGCATCCTAATTCACAACAGTCTTTATATTATTTAGTTAGGTATTTATCTTCATGACTTACTCATCTGTATGTTCGTAATATCCTTTTCAATTTATTTAGTTCATTTCATTTTTGAACTCTTTTTCAAAGAATTCTAACTTGTGTCATATACACAACTCCACAATTATCAAATATATCAATAATGTAAATAAAATAAGAGAAACAAATGGTTGAATCTACTTTATTTCTCTTCTTTTTCTTTTTCTCTTTTTTCACATTCATCTCTCAACCAAACACATCCTAGACTTAACATGTTTGCCACGATCATTACTTTGTCAAAACTTTTTTTTTTAAATCTTAGTATTCTATTTTGCAGCTGATCAATTTAAGAGGATCAATCTCATTGATTATTTGCAAGACCCGTTTAAAAGCATAGTTTTACTCTGTATGAGTTTGTCTCCAACACATAAATTGTTAACACTTATTAAAATCTGAATCTGAAATCTTGAGAGAAACTCATTCTCAAAATTCAAATCTTCACCGCAAAATCAACCCCTCCTAAAATCCTTAATCAAGAATTAAACCAAAGAATCTACTATTCCTCTTCTAACCATAAATGTGTTAAAAAAACAAATCTCACCCTCAATCCCTCTTATAAACAAGCTATCATCAAATCAATTTCTCTCATTCCAACGAATACATTGGTTAATAATTCTCAATTTCTTCCACCAAATAGACTACTTCTCCCCCCACCCAATACCGCCCTACGCCATACCACATGTCTATGGGAAAACATCTTAACCCATAATTCCCCTCTTGATCAACTTAAACCTCCATAGACATTACTTACAACAAGTTAAACTTTTACATCCTCCTTATACCTAAATCACCATATTCACGGTCTAAGCAAATACTATATCCCAATAAAACTTATCGCTCGAACAAATTTTCTCAATGTTAAAACTTAATCATTGAACAAAAATACATTGTAGGTTTTACTTTAAATCGTTAGAAAAGGATGGATAAGATCAAGAAATTGAGTGTTTTACTCACTTCACCGTTCCCAATTTCAAGAATACTGATCCAAACGGAGAAATAGTTAAGATAATTTGAAATGTACAACAACGTTCCATTAACCAAAGCAAATATACAACCAGTCTAAAACAGTTAAATATTAACACAAACACAATCCACAAATCAAACACTGCAAACTTTGAAAGTAAACACGATTCATCACTTTCTTCTCTTCTTGATTATCTTAGCTTTATCAATAACAGGTAAAGGAGATGTAACTCTATATAACTCTTCATTAACGTAGCGATACCTCTTCTTCCTTCTCGGAAAGCACCTTCCATCATCCTCAGAATCTGACATCTCAGTAACCGCCGGTTGTGCCGAAATGGATGATGATGATACATATTCAGAATCAACCTTGTTATCGTGATTCACGCTGTAGCTGTTGCTATTGTTATTGCTGTTTCGATCTTGTTCGGAATCTCCGCTGCTGAGCTGTATGAGAAGCTTCGCTGCTTCGATCTCCGATAGGGAGACCTTTATCGGCGACCTTCTCTTCGTTTTCGTGCCGTTTTCCATGTTCAGTTTGTTTGGTTGAGAGGAAATATCTTGATTAAGAATTTTGGCAAGATATTATTTTATTTATACTTTTAAATTAGAGTAAAGAGTAAGTCGGTTACTGTAGATATTTATTTTCTTATTATTATTATTTTCGTTATTATCGTCTTGGAGTGCCTTACTTACCTAGAGAATTTATTAATTTACCCTCTCTTTTCCAAGCCAAACATGAGAGTTTATATGGCATGGGCTCGAATGAATTCAAAATTAGTTGGTAATATTTGTTACCATTAATTTATATGCTAATCTCTTTTAAAAGGTGGGAAGAGAATTAGTTGGTAATATTTGTTACCATTAATTTATGGGCTCGAATGAATCATGCGCAGGTATACAATGTTGGATTTGAATCTAAAATGATGTACAAGGTGAGAAGAAGAGAATTTCGCACAAAGACGATAACTAAGTAATGAAAGTAGAATCATACAGAAACATTTAATGATAACTAAGTAATGAAAGTAGAATCATATAGAAACATTTAATGATAATACTTGATTAAAAGAAGGTTCTAGAGATATTAAGACTAGTCTAGTTCATATAACTAAAAACATCCTAGAATTAATGAGGTTGTAATATATATTAAATCTTTATTTAGTAATATTTTCTTAAATTCTATGTTTTAAATATTTTTATAAAGTTCTCTTAAGATCCATATTATTTTAAATTATAAGATATTGGATCGAATTTTAGTGTTGTCAACTAAAATATTATCAACATGGGAAATGTTTATGTTTCGATAGGAGATAAGTATGAAATCGAAGTTGATTCACATGCTGACGTCGAAGTGTTACATGCAGTTGTCGAAGTTAGTTATAGTATGTAATTTCGAATTGGGCCTTGTTTCTTAGATCTAATTGTTTAGGTTAGCTTGTTGTTTAAGTTAACTTAGTAGCCTATAAATAAGCTAGTTTTCTCAGGTTGTTGAGAGAGGTCAATTGTTGTTATTCACTTTTAATCATTTGAACCCTAATTGAGTAAGTGAATAGAAAAACAGATTTTCCAATCCTATTCTCCTTCTTTCTTCTCTCTCTTTGTTAACCTATTTGTTTCATTGTTCACCAAGAAACTCTGTTTCTCAAAGATTTATTTGTTAGTCCATATCTTTTGTTACAACAAACTAGTGCGGTGAGCGTGGAGGAAGATGTTGTCAACAAAGTTTGAAATTGAGAAGTTCACCAGAGTTAATGATTTCAGTTTATGGCGCTTGAAGATGTGAGTCCTTCTTGTTCAACAGGATTTGCTAGAAGCGTTAAATGGAAAATAAGCCATGGATGATACATTGACGAAGAAGGATAAGACAACGATGATCGAGAATTTTCGCAGTGTCATTGTTCTGAGTCTTGGTGATAAGGTTCTCAAACAGGTTTCTAAGGAGACGACGACAGCTATTGTTTGGCTAAAACTCAAAGGATTTTATATGACAAAATCATCGGTGAATCGTTTGTACTTGAAGCAAGTTTTGTATTCATTCAAGATGAATGAAGATAAAGCATTCACAGAGCAGCTGGATACATTCAGCAAGCTGATCCTTTATCTTAAAAATATTGATGTTACCATCAGTGATAAAGATCGAGCATTATTACTGTTGTGTTCTATACCTAAGTCGCATGTTCACTTCAAAAAAACCCTCTTGTATGAAAGAGAGACTCTGACCTTTGAAAAAGTTCAATCAACTTTATATTCTATGGATTTGAACGAAAGAAAGGAGCATAAATCATCATCAGTTGGCGAAAGATTGCCCATTAAAGAGAACTTCTTGAAAAGAAATGGTAGGTTTGAGAAGAAGAAAGGTAAAACTCTACAGAAGTCTTATGGTGGTGTATTTCTAGTATTGGGTGTTATCACTGTAAGAAGGATGGTCACACAAGAAAGGTGTATCCTGAATGCCTAGATAATCATGGAGGTAAGGACAATGGCAATGCAGCTATTATGCAAGATGATTATGAATCCCAAGAATCCTGAAGACAGCTTCCAGATCCTTCATTTCGAACTCCTTACTAAGTTCAGCCTTCACCTCCATTGCATCCACAACATTGTTGCTAGCTATGAGGATATTATCCACATAAAGCAACAAAATAAAAAGTGAATTTCCAGGTCGAAACTGAAGTAAACACAATGATCTAAATGGCTCCTAGTGAAACTAATGTGTACCATGAACTTGTTATCTCAAGAGACATACCTACGGAAGATTCTCGACAAGTTTGGCATGTCGAATTTAAAGTCTGTTGTGACTCTAACAAATCCTCAATTTAAACTTAGTACTATTCAAAGTATTAGTACTAAAGATGAAATAATCTATATGAGTAGCATTACATATGCTAGTATAGTAGGTTCTTTGATGAATGTTATGGTTTATACGAGGCCAGACATAACATATGGAGTGAGCCTTGTAAGCAAATGTATGGCCAATCTTGGAAAGACGCACTAACAAGCTTTGAATTGGATTCTTATGTACATAAATGAGTCTCAAAATAAAGTCTTAATTTATGGTAGAGCCTTTGGTGATGATAGCAAAGTTGAAATTGAAGGATATGTCGACTCTGATTATGCAGGTTGTATGGATTCTAGAAAATCTATTTCTGGATATGTGTTCACTATGTTCGGTACATCAATCAGTTGGAAAGTGACACTTTATAAGGTTGTTGCCTTATCAACCACTGAAGCAGTATATATTTCCCTCATTGAAGTTGTGAAAGAAGCATTGTGGCTTAAAGGTTTTGTTAAGAAGCCGAAACTTCAAGCTCGAGTTATCATTATTAAATGTGATAGTCAAAGTGCAATACACATGTCAAAAAATTCAGCCTACCATGAGCGAACCAATCACATCGATGTAAGGCTGCACTTTGTTAAAGAGATAATCGAGCATGGAGATGTCCAAGTGCTGAAGGTTTCGACTGATGACAATGCTACTGATATGATCACCAAGACAATGTTGAGCTGCAAGTTTTTCCACTGTATGCAGTTGATAAAGATAGATGACCGAAGCTATATTATTCCCTGTTATTGTAGATTTTGTTCCAAGATGGAGATTTGTGAGATATCAGATCGAACTCTAGTGTTGTCAACTGGGATGTTGTCAGCAGGGAAAGTTTTCATGTTCGACAAGCATGGAGTCGAAGTTGGTTCACATGATGACGTTAGAGTGTTACATGTCATAGTCGAAGTTAGTTCTAGTATGAAATGTCGAATTGAGACTTATTTCTTAGATCCAATTGTTTAGGTTATCTTGTTGTTTAAGTTAGCTTAGTGCCTATAAATAGGCTAGTTCTATCAGGTTGTTGAGAAATGCCAATTATTGTTATTCACTTGTAATCATTTGAACCCTAATTGAGTAAGTGAATAGAAAAACAATTTGCCCAATCATATTCACCTTCTTTCTTATCTCTCTCTTTGTTGACCTAATTATTTCATTGTTCATCAAGAAACTTTGTTTATCAAAGATTCATTTGTTAACCGGTATCATTTGTTACAACATAAATATTTCTAGAAAGTTTTATATCATTCTTTGAGTTAGAAGTAGGGATGAAAATAATTCATGTTAATTAACAGAGACCTACAATCTAGCCTACACACACACACACTGCTACAATAAGGTCTTTTACCACAGTTGACAAATGATTAACCATGGTAACATATGGCGTAGTGGTATGTTCCCTCTTTACCACCACGTACTAGTAAACATTGTAAAAACATAATAACGTGTAAAATATCACTACGACTGAAGAAAAAAATGTAGTAAAAGGTTGAAGTCATGGGTTCGATACTCAACGCCAGCATTTTGGTAGGTTTTTAAACCTTTTCACCATGGTTGTTCCCTCCATCCGTTGTGAAAGACTTAACACATAACATATCACCACAGTTATAGTTTCCAACTGTAGTGATATGTATACTTAAGTTTATTATAACTTATGTGGAATGTTTATTTCACCAACGGTCACTAAACATATAACCATTCGATCTAATTTAGAAATTAATAATATGACAGAATAAGTTATATAAGAAGAACAAATTACACTAATCAATGTTGTACAAGCTTTATACAACCCATTTTCCATATTTTACTCTTTAATGGTTTGAACTTTTTTCAATATTTTTAGTTCTTCTTCTAAGACTCCCTTCACTATTAGTTCATTTTGCAAAATATTAATTACTTTGAAAACAACACCGATGGTAAAGAAAGTGATAGCTGAAGAACTAGAAGCATTGAACCAAATTCTAAATATTAAAGAGCAAAATATGAACAATTGACTGCAAAAAGCTCGAAAAACATTGATTAATGTAAATTGTTTTCTAATATAACTTAATATCTCATATTACCATTTCCTATTTCTGATTGAAATGTTATGTAGTTATGAATGGTTAGTAAAATACTCAAACCACATATGATATAATAAACACATCTTCTATAACAAGTTGGTCGAATAAAATGAAAGCTATAATGTACAAGGAATATCGGCAACATTGTTATTAGTTGAAACCTTCAACATTTGAACTTCTCCATACTTGATTATCTCTATGGAAAAGTGCAACCTCACATCGATGTGCTTAGTTTGCTTATGATATGCTAAATTCTTCGACAAGTGTATTGCACTTTGACTATCACATTTAACAGCGATATCTCTACCTTGAAGTTTCATCTCCTTAGCAAAACCTTCAAGCCACAATGCTTCTTTCACAACTTTGGTGAGAGCATATTGTTGCACCCCAAATTTTAACCCCTTAGATCTTCATCATCATTTTAGGATCATATTCATTTGATTATCTAACCTTAACCTATTTCAAGTTTGTCTTTGTTAAGATACAGGTGAATTAGAGTTCCCTACAGCCGAGAATCGAGGTTTCGATGGTTAATCAGTCAATGTATTAGATTAATTCTCCATGAAATAAGTCTCCACATCATCAAATATACTCCATTGGGTCAAGTATGAATCCAATTTGAGGTTGTCACACAAAGATTAAGAACC